GCACAAGTCTTTTAGAAACTTGGCATAAGATGGAACCTATTTGATTGCATCCAGAAGTGGGATGTTGATTTTTACTTACTTGAAGAGCTCATAAATTTCTGGCTGATTAGTCAACTTCTGTGCAGTTTTGAGTCTATGAGAAAAAGGAGCAAGAATATAACACGAGGGTTCTTCTTCCCTTGATGGCTTTGGTTCTTGTTCAATTATGGGCTCGGGTTCCTCATCTTTCTCACATTCAGGCTCAATTATTTCAGTCTCAATTGGTGAATTGACTGGCTTTAGAAGTGGCATGTCTTTGATAGTCTTATCAATCACTTTGCCACTTCTTAGTGTAGTGACAACTTGGGCTTGGGCTCATGGAGTTTTCATGATTGCAGGATTTTCCACCTAAAATTGGCCTTATGGTGGTTTTAGTTAGGCAAGAAATTTGCCCTTCTCATGTATGGTCATGGATTGGGTCAATTTATGGTGGTCTGTGTTTTGAAATCAGTAAAAGCTTGAGTAGAACTATTGTTGTAATTCATTTGACTGTGCATAAACTGATTCAATGTATCTTTAAGGTTCCTCTTTTGTGGTGGTTGGTATGCTTGGTATGCAGGAGGTCCTTAAGGTGGTGGGTGCAAACCTTGTTGGTTTATGGGAGTTGGCTGTGTGTTCCTTGATTCGTGTGCAAAGTTAACAAATTTTACTATGTCTTTTTGGATTAATTGTGCTTTGATGGAGTTTAAGTAATGACATTTCAGGTCCTAAAGTGAACAAAGGCTCAAGAACAACAAAAATCACACTTGAATGTAATACCAGCACAATAGAGAACAAAATTACAGAAGGTTGGAAAAAAGCAAGAACGTTCGAATGTCCTCTGAAATCTTGCTAAGACCAGCTGTTGAGACATGGCGTGTTGCAGTCAACAAAAGGGAAATACTGAGGTACTTGAGTACCACGTTTGAATGCCAACTCACGTATGAACGTCCTCTAGAATCCTGAGAAGACTACACCACTGGAACCTGGCATGTTGTAAGAACCACAAAACAAAAGTACTTGAGCACAACGTTTGAATGTCAATCCATGTTCGAACGTTGTCTTGAGGGACTAAAGAGTTACTGAGTGTACAGTCAATGATGTTCAAGGCGTATGGAAGTGACTAAGTCAGAGACCAAGTCAGTGACCACAGGCCACTTGAGTAGAAGAAATCAAACGTCATCTCACGTTTGAACACCCACAAAGCAAAGATAGACTTGACGTTCGAACGCTAGATCACGTTCGAATGTCCCCCTGTAGACTGCTTGTAGAATAGTTGATTCCCATGGGTGGCAAACATTATTCACTCATCCTCACCTATCTCTTACCCCCTCCCTTCCTTGCCTATAAATACTCCCTTGTTGGGAGCTTAAAGGGCATTCTTCTTCTTATAGAGTAAATGAGCAAGCAATCTTTTCTCTTGTAAAGTAGAAAGTTTTAAGTAATCTAGTTCTTGAACATTTCTTATCTATGTTTATGTTTTTATTTGTATCAACCATGATGGAGGCTTAGACTCTCCTTGTAGTTGAAGTCTTTTATTTACTCATGCTAAGTCTTCACATTCATATTGTGACAACTATGATGGAGGCCTAGACTCCCCTTGTAGTTGTACTTGCTTTTATTTACAAGTATCAAGAGAGATAGCTCAACTTTTGGTTGTGGTGGAAACCCTCCAAAAGTAACTAGCTTTCTTCTACTTTCGTTGTTTATGTCTTTCACTTCCAATGCTTGAACTTCCTTTTTTCTTAGAAGAGTGAAACTCTTCCACTTTTCTAGAGCTTTACCAAAGCCGTGAAGGGTGGGACGTGATTCACTTATTCTTTATTGAAGATTAGCTTTTCGTTTATTGTACTCTCACTTAGTAGCTCCTCCACTTAGATGGATGAATATCACTCACTTGTCTAGCATGACCAAAGCCATGACGAGTGAGTAGTTCTTCATTCACTCTTTAGTAAGAGGTGATGAATATGTAAAGATTACCCGGAAGTTATGTTTGTGCAACTCCTTTATGCTTTAATGATTTATATTCTACTTATTCATTGGATGATTGAATGCATCTAGAAAAGCTAAGGTACTTTGTATAACCAAGGGTTCCTTCTATGATACGGATGACTCCTGCATAGAAAGACCCAGTGGTTCAAGACAAGCACCCCGACTAGCTCTTCATGACATCTTTTCAATCTCCAACATTATTGCACTTTATTCGAAGAATGGACCATTAATGCCATGGTTGGATGCCTTGTAGAAACACTTGCTTGTTTGTAGACGGGTTAAGTCTCGGCACAGACAATTCTTGTAAACTTCTAGAAAGGCATCGGAATCATGTGCTTAATCTTTACAGTCCATCTTTATCCTCCGATTAACTTGCTGTTGACATGGGAGTTAATTGAGTCATAAAGCTCAAATATAATAAACCGGATAATCAATTACATGTTCTAATCCTTGAGCTTAAGGGTGGCTGTTACATTTTGAGAATCTTATATTTTGTCTAGAAAACTCTTGGAAAGAATTTGATATTCTATTCAGGAAATCCCACAACTTCAAATCCTCAAGATTTCTAGTTACTTGGTCTCTATCACTACTTATTTCTAAACACTAATCATAGGTCCCTGTGGATTCGACTCCGGACTTCACCGGATTATTACTACAACTTGATCGCCTGCACTTGGGTGTACACATTTTGGATCAAGTTAAGTTTTTGGCGCCGTTGCCGGGGAACCAGAAAAGGTGTTTTTGAGAAAAAGGTGAAAAGACTTTCTTATCTGTGTGAATATTTGTGTATAAATTTGTTTTAATTATTTTTTATGTCTGAGAATGCTCCTCAATATCAAAATTTGCTGGCAGAATCTTCTGGGTCTGTGAACCAACTTGAACCATCTTCACCTAGATCAATAGCAGACTCTTGTGAAAGTAGAATGGCAAATGATGAGAGATGAGGAGAAATTCCTGTGAGGGAGGAGGAAGTGCCTTACATTCGAACTTTGCGGGATTACTTAAATCCCACAAGGAATAGTGTACCCTCTTATTTTGTTTTCCCTGAAGATGCACCCCTCTTTATTGTAAAGACGGGGACAGTTCAACTACTTCCTCTATTCCGTGGACTCAAAACGAAAAATTCATATCTGCACATAAAAGAGTTTGAGGAAGTATGTGGAACGTTTCAAGACAATTCTGAGTTAGCCAAAAATGAAACTTTTTTCATTTTCACTAAAGGATAGGGCTAAACAATGGCAACATTCTTTAAAAGCTTTTTCAATACCTGACTGGCGGGCACTGCAAAATGAATTTTTCAGAAAGTTTTTCCCTTTACACCGCACTAATGCATTGAAAAGGCAAATCATGAATTTTTTGGTCAAAGAAGGAGAAACCTTTTACCAAAGTTGGGAGAGATTCAAGGATCTACTCTAGTCTTGCCCGCACCATGCTTTTGAGAACTGGACTTTGGTAGGATTTTTTTATGACTCCTTGTCCACTCGACTACGTTAGTTTGTCGAAATGATGGCTCAAGGAGTGTTCATGAGTAAGAGTCCGGAGGAGGCATTCAATTTTTACGACACCATATCTGACAGTTCTCAGATGTGGGACTCAGCCTCCCCTATCATTGTTGAAACCAAACCATCTACTTCCCAAGGGAGTAAGTATATCTTGAAAGAAGATGATGACCTAAAAGCCAAAATGTCCACCTTGTCTCGAAAGCTTGAAGCTTTAGAGATGAAAAAGGATCATCAAGTTGATGTTAGCTCCCCACAGAACAAGTGTGTGGAATCTGTGCACTGACAGGACATCCTACTGGGGAGTGTCCTACAATCCCAGCATTCAAAGAGGTTTTGTTGGAGCAAACAAATGTTGTCTCCAATTTCAACAAGCCTTACTCCAACCCTTACTCTAAAACATACAATCCAGGGTGGCGGAACCACCCGAACTTCAGTTGGAGAAACACCCAGCCAACTCCAATGAACCAACAACAAGGTTCACACCCACCACCTCAAGGACCTCCTGCATACCAAGCGTACCAACCACCACAAAAGAGGAGCCTTGAGGACACACTGAATCAGTTCATGCACAGTCAAATGAACTACAACAATAGTTCCACTCAGGCTTTTACTGATTTCAAAATCCAGACCACTCATTCTTTCGAGGATCTTAAAGCCACATCCAAAAGTTGACCTAATCCATGACCACACATGAGAAAGGAAAGTTTCCTGCCCAACCAAAACACCACAAGACCAATTAGGACAAGGACGTTCTGTGTCAAGGAAAACAACTCGCAAAATCTGCTCCTCTGTTACTTGATCTCTTTGCTCATCAAACTGCATATAGATGTCAAATGACATGTTCTGTTAATCAATGATGGATAGAAAGCAATCGTGTCATTCATTACTCAAAAAGTAGAATGCATCAACCAAGTGGAGTACCATTCTGAAAATTTCTAAATTGGATATAATGAAGTGGAAAAAGGATTTCACAATTTGATCTGGAATAAAGTTGCAGTAAAACAAGGGTACTCAGAAACACAAGCATGCAGCATAAAATAGCTCAATTAAAGTCCGCATCAAATAGAAAAGAACCTCAACTCAAGTAACCTTTTTTGAAGTAAAATGGGAACCTCACTTTCAGTAACCTAAGTCTGCATATCTGAACACCCGGCAAACATAATGCTATCAATGACATTTAAAATAATTTGTGCCACTATCCTGGCAGATCAAACATGACAGATATAACAAATAAAAAGACAGTTTGTTTATCAGCAAAATCACAAGATTCACACAAAATGATTGAACCAATGAAAATCCATGTAATATCAATTAAAGGGGCCAACAAAATTTACCAGCTCTGGTACATAATCCATTTCTCCTTTCACTCTCAAGCTCATGATCTTGAACTTGACCCTAGTCTTCAGACCTTGTATTTTCTCATCGTTCTCTGGATGCTCCACAAACTTGAATACTATTGATGAAGTTACAAATCAAGATGGCAAATCATTAATTCATGAGTAGGTACTCCAATGTATATATGTTATATGCAACATCAAAAAGAAAATAGAGATCAAGAAGGATAATGTTACCAGTTGCAATTAGACTTTCACCAGGAGCAAGTATTTCACCAGGAGGGCGCATGTAACAACTCTTCGGTGCAGTTGTTTGAAACTGAGGAAACACAAAGGCACCACCAGTTAGATGTGGCCTGATTGGTAAATAGCAGTAATGACAAAAATAGGAAAACAAGAAATTAACAACAAAGTCAATTAACATTAAGGGAAACAAATTGTAGCATAACTGCACAACAAGTACGATGATGAAAATATAGGAGATACACTAAAATCAGTCTATAGATGTAGCTTTTAATTGAAAAATGGGTGAACACTATTCCAGTTCTTCAATTAAACTCTCAATTTCAGCTCATTTTAACTGAATTTCCCATACAGGATTCTATTTATATTTTCTGAAGAAATTCTTGTAAACTTTGGCTAATCTATGCCCAAAATAGTTTTCCACCTCTAATGTCAAATAAGTCAGTTGGGTATGGCAGGCCTGCCTTGAATAGGAGTTCAACTAACCGCACAGTCTTCCAATTTTCAAAACCCATCAGAATTAATGAACATACTAAACTATTTGACACATATATCACTTGATAAGAAAAAGAAACTAATAGCGAAAGTATATTTCATACCTTGAAAGCTACATGAGACTTGCTGATGTTTTTGATCCTGATTGCACTCTTGACTTGTTTACCAGGCTCATCTTCATCAAACGACAGTTCAAATACATCGGAGAGAGATCAATATTTTTCAAGAAATCAGAAAACAGAACAGACATGACACCAAAGTTACCGTTAATTACAAATTACATTACTTAAATGTCACTTTTCAATACCGTACTTCTATTTTTCATCTAATAAAAACAAGCGACATATAAAATTTTCTTATTTTCTTATTTTTAATTACTTTATAATTTTTCCAACCAGATTAATAGCCTTATCCAAATTTCTATGTCCTAGACTTTATAAATCATTCCCCAAACTTATTGAGAAATGATCAACTTCAAGGGCCACAAGAACTAAGAACATCAACAATAGAAACGTGTCAACTCCAAAAACAACTAATTAACATTCAAATCAACAAATCGTGCAGTGGGAACAAAACATACATGCATTATAGGCTGATTAAAGAAGACCCATATCATCAAATCATCACAAAAAAAATGCAGAAAAAGCACAATCATATGCCTTTGATCTGCCAAAACCATATAAGTGAAACACCGAAAGCGCAATGTACGTATAGAAGCATTTACATACACAACAGTAGAGGGGGAGAGAAGTACAGGGAAAGTAGAGTTTGTTGGGGGGATCAAGACTGAGTCGGCGCCGAGTTGGAAGAAAAGACTTTGCCACGGACGAGACCAAAGTCAGAGAATGGACATCAGGTTGATCGACAAGCTGGTTTTGGTGGTGAACACTCAGCGAAGAAGAAGATGAAGAAGAACCATCAGCATTGCTGGAGTGCCAAAATGGCATTCTGCAGAGACTCCAAACCTTCCCTTCAGACAGTGATCTCTCACTTGTAACAGCCATTCTATTTCCCGCCGGAATCCGACCCACTTCGCCGGCGAGAGTCTACAGGCACCGCCGTGCAGTTATTAGGTGGTTTCTATTATGGAAATCATCCCCAATGATGAATCGTTGTCATGCGTGTGTTTGTGTGTTATTGAGACCATCGCTGTTGGGGAAAAATAGAAGCACGGATAGTTGGAAGGGATTAATAAAATATGATGTGCGGTAAAAAAGGAAAATAAGAGGGGAAAAAAAGTGAATGAATTAATTTTTTTTTTTGACTCATTAAAATTAATTTTTATAAAAATAAAAAAAAAGTGGATGAAAAATTAATTATTTGTATTAAGATATATCTTATTTGTCTATATAATTTTTAATATAATATATATTATATATATACATTAATTTCATATAAAAATACAATGTATATTAATTTTATATAAAAATATAATGATAAAATATGTATTTATATATATATAAAAAAAATTTAAAATTTAAAAATAAAAA